TGTTCCTGTCGGGAAAGTTGCCCACAACGACGAACATTTACATGCAAAAATATTCGCATACAACATTTTCATACATCGTTGTTCAGAGTACTCTCCTCCGTGTTCGTTTCATTCGTGTGCAGCAGCAGCGCACTGTGTGTGTTGTGTATGTGGCTCTCATTGCGTATACGTACTCGCGAAGACGACGAACAAGAAGAGGAAACCTAGAAGAGGTGCTTCTGCTGCTTTTACAACTGTTGTTGGTCGTGTTGTATCACTACTCCTCTGTTCTTTTGTCGTTCTTTCCTCTTGGTTTTGTTGTGTTACACACGGCTCCGACGCGCGATAACAGCCTCGAATAGACCAGGAGGAATTCGGTAAACGAAGATCGCCGCTTGTGAAGCTTTCAAAAAAACAAAAAAAAAATCGGTATTCTTCGGAGGATGTTTTGTTGATGAGAAGAAGAAAAAAAATATTGGAAACGAAGTGGTGGAACATAGACCACCAGTAGTAGTGTTGTGGCCAACAAAATTTTGCAATATTACAACAAACAATAGAAAAATAAAATAAGCTCCTTGGTTGCATTTGTGTGTGTCCCACTTCAAGGATTGTGGCTACTTGGCTTCCTTGCCATAAATCCCGTTGGAATTGTTGCGAATAAAGAAAGGTATGATGACGCCCCAAGTTGTAATATTTGTAATATGAAAATGTATAGTAAAAGTTTTTGTATTATTTTTAGAAAAGTTGGATTTATAGTTGATTGGAAAAATTTACAAACCAAAAAATTGCTGTAGGTAATTGCAAATGTGGTATGTGTGATGTAAGATGTATACTAAGTACTCCCGTTTCCTTGCCATCCATTATAATTATATTTATGAAATCAATGATTGTTGTTAACAGGCTGTGTTTCTTAAGGAGAACTAAAAGAGTGTGCAACAATGGCGTGCACACAACATTTGGATTAATCCTTGAAAGATTAGTCACCTCCCTCGTATGCTTTGTTGTTATGTAGGGATCCCAAAAAATATACATGGACTTTTTGGAAGAATTTTAGTAGCTTATTCTTAACTGAAACTTAAACTTAACACAACTTAAAAAATTAACACTGCAAATTGAGAAAATACACCTTAACTGCCCATATATGTAGAAGGAACTTCAACTGGAATACATTTTCCTTATAAAACACAAAGAATAATCTTTAAAAATTTGGTTATGATTAAGGGCTCTTCGTAGAAGCTGTCTGCTGCACGTACTAATGAATAACTTTAGTGTGAATTTGAGTGAAGGGACCGCATTTGAAATGTGTTACACAAAAATTTCTACAATTTCGAAGTTGTTTACTAGGCTATGCGAAATGTATGGATGCTATGACTGTTTTGAAAATTAATGAACCGAAAACCGAAACTTCTCTTATTGACAGTAAACAAACATTTAAAAGTTAAATCCGAACCTGTATTAGATGTCTAAAACACATATATAATTTCTCACGACATTGTCTCGTACTAATCATATGAGTACTGCTGCGCATAGAAATAATAGAAAACGATATAGCAAATATACTCGCCAGAAGTGCTACCGACCGACGTACAAGAGATGTATATAATGACAAACCTTTTGGTGCAACGCATTTAGAATTAATGGATTGAAAAGAATTATATGTGAAGACCCAAATGAGAATAAGACAAAGGAAATCAGCGGACTGGCACATATTCTCACAGGACTTAACAGCTTTCCCGCCCACTTAGGTTAGGTTTGAGGATGAGCAGTCAGTTATGTGGATGTAGCACTCTGAGACCGTTAGGGCCGTTGTGATCATCCACAAGAAGGAAAGAGATAAGAAGAGATCTATAGGGGAGAAAAGATTGGGGAAATAAAGAGAGATGAGAAGCTTACAGAAAGATATAAGAAGGTAAGAATGGAATAATGTCAATGGCTATGGAGATCAGACAGAAGATATATTACGTGTCAAGGTTGCACTTTCCCAACCACTTTAGGTTTCTCATTATGACGTAGATTAGAGCAGGTTCGGTTGTTGAGAAGAATCTAACACTCTGTGGAAAATGAGGACCCACTAGTCTGTGCCGCCTATAAGCCAAGGCTGGACAGTGACACAGAAGATGCTCAATTGTCTCCGCCTCCTCCTCGTCAACGCAGAATCTACAGTAATCAGTTGCATCAAAATCCCATTTACTGGTAAAGGCCCTGATATTGCAAGGACCGGTAATGATTCCCGTCATTACTCTTATTTCAGCTTTGCTCAGGTTCAACAGTGAGTGCGTTCTTTTGGTAGACAGAGTCGGTCAAATAGATCTTGACACGTTGCATCTAGGTTCGTTGTGCCAAAGTTTATAGGCTCTTTCGTCGAAGAACGCCTCAAAGTTCCGATAAAGATGACATATGGGTGGTTTGATTGAGTCATCAATTTCTAGATCTGTGGATTGAGATCCTCGTCTAGCTAGTTCGTCTGCTCTTTCATTACCCAAGATGTCACGGTGTGCTGGTACCCAACACAGGCGTAGCTGTAATTAGGTTCTTCCAAAGCTGTTGTACACTTGAGGACGGCCTCGGATTTGATATAACAAGATTCGATGGCTTTAAGAGCCGCTTGACTATCCACGAAGTCACCGGTTCAACGACCTCTGCGTCCAGACTTTTTTATCAATTCCGTTGCCTTCCAAATCGTAAAGATTTCAGCTTGAAAAACACTACAGTTGCAATCCAGCTTGTAGGTTAACCCGCCCCTGTACCTTCTTCCATCTTGAATCCGTCTGTATGGAAGGCCAGACCGTCCAGAGAAGGGTTACTTCGGTTCCAGTCGTCTATACTAGGAATAACGACATCTACATCGTTCAATCTCAGGACTGGTGATATATAGTCGCTTAGTTTAACGCGTTGGTCCAATGTTATAACTGGCTCGTTCAAAATAATACCATGTCCAAAGGTATAACTTCGCCAGTTTTGTTCATGCAGCCTTAGGGGGCTACGCGCGGCCTGACTTAATGCTGAGGGCCAGATGCATAAAATTCAGCATTGCGTTCAGAGCTGCTTGTGGTGTACTCCTCCTGCCTCCTGTAACTAAAATCGAGGCGGCTCTTTGTACCTTAAAGGGAGCATACAATAGAAGAATAGATGATGAAAATAAAGTATTATAGCTGAACGATAATAGCTCAGAGCACACCTGCCTCCTGGGTTTTAACAGAAAAATACAATGGTTGGAGATTAAAAATTACAGTCAAGGCAGCTTGTGGTGTGATTCTGAGTGCTCCATAAATTCCAGGAATGACGCTGATCGCTGTTCATTTTGGCGAGCAGTGTACGCTTGCTCACCCCCGCCACCACACAATGTATTGATAGGACAACCAGGGCACCATCTCGGTTTTTAATCGCCAACTCCCCCAATTTTTAGTGCGCTACTTAACATTCCTTTTTCCTTTTTGTTAGCTTGTGGTCAAGGTGTGTTCCTAAGTATTTTACTTCTAAGGAAAGGTTTATGGTCACTCCACCCAAAGATTGCAGACGGAAGTTTGGGAGCTTACGTTTCTTAGTAAAGTGTACCATTTTTTGTCTTCGTGGGTTCACCCCAAGACCATTGACCTGGATCCAGTTAGAGGATGTTGAAAAGATACTCTCGATTATATCGGAATAATCGCTGAATAACAGGACTACATCATCGACAATTTGCTAATCTTGTTCAAATTTATGGTATTCCTAATTTCGAGGTCTAGTAACCTTTCTAGTTACTTTAGTAGAAAGGAAGAAAGTCTATAGTTTTTAGGTAGCGTGTGACAATTACCTCTTTCCATAGACTTGGTGTGTACGATAAGAACAGATAAGCCCTAAAAATCCCTATAATGTGATCAGTATACGACGATTTGCTTACTGCCATCATTATCAGGACCAGTGGATTTGCAGAGTTGGAAGCTATTTATTGCCCGTACTATTTTTGGAATCGTATAGTATATTCTATCGTATCCACAAAAAGCACATTTAGAATTTTGTTTTACTGAAGAAAGACGAACATATTATCCACATAAGGTACTACCTATTTTATTTTATTCTGCGATTAGAACTCATTCGTAACTTGGAAACCTTTCGGTCCATTGTGATCATCCATTGAAAATAAATGGAAAATGTAGATTAAAACATGTTCCATAGTTGAATAGAAGTATAAATTTGACGGAAAGTGAACACCCATTGCATTGCACTGGGACACAGTAACTGCTCGATCGTGTATGTGTATGTGTACTCAAGACACAAAGCCTTTTACAGTAGTCGGTACAAAAAGCCAAACCTCCATAGGATGGTTACTACGGTTTCTGTCGTCATCTACACCGTCAAATCTCAGGACTGGTAATTTATATAAACACTTAGTTTTAGTTTAGTTCAAGGTAAATCAATGCCCATAGGCAAAATTACGCCAAAGTTTCTGTTATGCTGCCTGACACTTAATGCTGACTGACTCTAAGGCCTTATGATCAGCATTACATTTAGAGCAACTTGTAATCAAAGACAACAAATTTGATATCTTTATTATCCAGTTCTTCCAATGCGACGTAAATAAAGACTTAATTTACATCGATGAAGGCTGTATTCAGTATCGACTAATTTTGTGCTATAAATTGCTGATTTTATTTACATTGCATTAATTTCTTATCTCAATGTCTAGTAACCTTTCCATCACCTGTTTGATAAAATATTTGCTATCTCTCAGGCGTTCCTATTTTCAGCATAAATCCAATATTTAGTACTCTCCTTTTATAACTATTATACTTTGTTAATTTATTACAATTATGATATTAACCTTTTTATTCTTTATATCTTTTCAGATCTACCTAATGCTGCTACTGGAATCGTACATTAAAAAATCGAATCATTTTGAAAAAATGTCGGAAATTCTCAAGACTTGTTTAAAACAATTTTGATAGGGAAGATAAAAGAAGATTAAAGATAGTCAGAACTTTGTCCCATCTTTATAAATCAGCAACAAAGGCCTTTGCCTTTGTCAAAAAAACAATAAACTTAACACGTCTCTACGCTGCAGAGAATGTTTACACCCATAAAAAATTTCATAACATATATACAAAAGAATGCAAATTTTGGATCATCGAATACCACATCAGCTAGCAGTAGTGAAGAAAATAACAAAATGGAAGCAAAAAATAAAATAAATTCACAAAATTCATCCGAAAACATAGAAATTGGTGGTGAATGTTTACCAACAAAGCAAACTAACGAAGTTCATCATATTAATGGAGAATCGAATAAAGATCCAACAGTACTTACATTGTCATCCGCCTCAACCTCCTTAGCAAAAACATCACCTGCAAAAAGTATGGAAACTATAACAGTGGCTTGTGATGATCCTGATGATGTTGTTGATGAATACGAAGATGATGACGACGATGACATTGAGTCACAAATCGAAAGTAGTATTATGTTAAAGAAGCCAGTCAAAGATGGCAGCAATAAAAATAGTGAAATACTCGAAGTTAAAAAATCACCCGACCGTAGTATTGTTATTGGTCATGACTGTGGACGGCGAACAATGATTGTTGCCTCGCCCATTGACGATGAATTGGCAGATTTTCGTCATGCTCCCTCAGAGGTAATAATATCATCGCCTCTCAATAATCATAGAGATGATGAAGGCGATATACAGACATCGGCGAATGATAAGAACACTTGGAAAAAGCAAATTATTGAAAATAGTAATGGCCATAATCTTAGCCAACAAGAAGTAGAAATGGTGATGGTGGTGGGAGGAAATGAAAAGGCCAATGGTCATGAATCCATATTAATATCGGATACAAGTGACAATGAAAAATGTAATCAAAGCGCAGAGAAAATTATTCTCTTGGATTCGGAATTTGAAGATGTTGAGGATCGAGCAGAAACTCTGTCATCGGTTTCAGCGGATGAGCGCGAAGCCGAAGAGGATGATTCAGATGAAACATTTTTAGATTTAGATAATTTTCCAGGTGAGTGAAATATAATTTATTTTTAAATATATTTAATTGGGAGTAATGTCTTCTGCCCTTCTGTCAGGTACGACCTTGTTATTGTCTTGTGGCCTTCTAAAGACTATTAAAGAAAGACCTTCGGATCTTCCATGGGAATAGTTTTTAATGTTCTGTAGTAAGACCTCCGGAGTCTTCCACTATGACAATACCTTGATATCCTGGACCTTCTGGTCTTCAATAAGATAACCTACTGGCTTTCTCATGGAAGACCTGTTGGGTTTCTAAAGGAAAACATTCAGGTCTTCTATATGAATACCTTCTAGTCTTCTAATAAAGTATTCTGATATTCTAAGGGAAAGACCTACTGGTTTCTTCTTTAGGAAGTCCTTCTGGCCTTATTCTAATGGGAGACCTTATGTTTTCTTTATCTATAGTAAGACCTCCTGACATCTTGGTATTCTATAAGAAGATCTCCTGGTATTGTTCTACAGGAAGATCTCCTGGTATTGTTCTACAGGAAAACCTCCTGGTCTATTTCCAAAGGAAGACCTTATGATCCTCTATAAGAAGACCTCCTGGTCTTCTATAAGAATACCTCTTAGCATTCTATAAGATTTCTTGGTATTCTTTTAAAACACTTATTGTTATTCTATAAGAATATTCAAAGCAAAGACTTCTGATCTTAGATGTCCTTCTGGACATACCAATACTATTCATTGGGTAGCTGTGAGTAACAAATAAACAGTCGCGGACAACCAGCGGGCTCAGGGGGAGAGTCTTGGAGGAAATGATCGAGTGCCTATGATCCCAGGGCTGACGAGGCGAGAATGGCGCCCTAAATTACCATCTTACCAGCTTGGGTGTCATGCGACCTCGTACCCATCAGTGTTCTACGGTTTGCAGTCAGGGTCCTCCATTCTTACATATGGTTGTTTAGTACAGCGATCGGCTTCAATTCTGATCACCGGAGCGTTAAGAAGTACACCACAGACAGCCTTGAATGCAATCCTGATTCTCCAACCACTGGACATTATGATTAAATTCCAGGCGGTCAGGTGTGCCCTGAGGCCTCGGGAAACAGATGCCTGGAAATCGCTGAACTATGGTCACGCTAGTATCCTAAACATAACGCCAGGTTGTGACCTCTTGAGTGGAAATTGTCATATCAGTGACTATGTTCCCTTTCACAGAGACTTTAATGACATCAAAGTATAGTTTCCCAGTAGGGAATCCTGGACTAGTGGCTCCTTACCTCTGAAAGGTCTGTCATTCTTTACACACGGGTCAAAGATGGAGGAAGGCACTGGTGCATTTAGAATTTAATTAATCTTTCCCACTTGATCTGCATTGAAAGTAATTTTTTATTTGAAACTTAACTTGACATTTTTCAAAAAAAAAAAAAAAAAATAATAATAATAATTCAAATTGTGTATTTTTTCCAGATAGTGAAGTTATTGTCATCAGTGAAAATACCCAAGAAAATAGCGATATGATGCGTATCGAATCCTCAGATGCTGCCAATACAAGTGATGATCCCTTAGCCATTGCCTGTGATGAACAGGAAGCATTTGCTGCCGATAAAATGACAGCATTGAAAGAACTGAATTTACTCAATACATCGGCCAATTCGCAAGATGAAGATACAACAACTACAGCAGATGATGAGATGATTTGGTTAAGAAATGAAACGGTGACAACAACAGCGGCGAAACGTAACAATGAACAACAACCATCGTGTAGTAGTAAAAGTCCACTCAACATTTTGTCGAATGGACCAAATTCCGTCACACCCGAAAAGGATGAACGAAACGGAGAAGGTTCCGATTCTGGTTTGGGTAGTGAAACTTCAGCTTTGCATACAACAAATACCAGCATTGTAGATACTAGCCATTTAAATATGAACTCATCATCGGTGGTGGCCACTCCGGTCAGCTCGCCCCATGTTCAATTGTCCAAAACTAAAGACAAGGACATCAGCAATGAAGTGATAAAGACGTTGCCAACAACGACGACACCCACCAAACCATTACGTTCAAATTTGAAACGTCGTTTGGAAATGGATCACGATAATGACGTCGTGGATTCCATAAGGAATATTACCTCAGCAGCGTCGTCCACAAGTACAAGCACATCATCATCGTCGTTAAGTGGAAATGCAAATAAGAAACCAAAGCGTTCGATTAATTTCGATACCGTACAAGTCTATTATTTCCCCCGACAACAAGGATTCAGTTGTGTGCCTTCAGCGGGCGGTTGTACTTTGGGTATGGGTGCACGGCACGTCGGCTTTAAGACTCTCACCCTGGCCGAACACGCTGCCGAACTGAGACGTGCTCACCGTTTGCAGCTGCAGGAAATCAATCCCCGCGGTTCTTCCAGTGACGATAGCGAAGAATCTGAAGAGGATTATCTTAGTGAGGGTAGTGGTTCGGATCTTGATGGCGAATCAAATGGTTTCCTACAACCCGTGTCGCCCAAACAAAGGCGCACCATACTAAAGGCAGCCGGAGTGCGAAAAATCGATGCCAGTGAAAAGGCCGAATGTCGTGATATACGCAATAGTCGTGAGGTGTGCGGTTGTTCGTGTCGGGAATTTTGTGATCCCGAAACATGTGCATGTGCACAGTCTGGCATCAAATGTCAAGTGGATCGTGATATGTTTCCCTGTGGTTGTACTCGAGATGCTTGCGGCAATACCATTGGTCGGGTGGAATTCAATCCGGCTCGTGTGCGTACACATTTCATACACACACTAATGCGGCTGGAAATGGAAAATCGTCAGCAACAAAATCCCTATACACCTGCCGGCGCTGTTATATCCACAGCCACTGTGAATTCGTCTTCGTATTATCAGTCACACTTGCAGCCACAATCAAATTATAGTTCAGGTTATGCATCGCCAGCTTATAATCCAGGTGCGGATATGCATCAACAAAATGCTGCCCAGCAATTTTATCAACACCATCATCATCAACAGCAACAGCAACCAACAACATCGGGAAGTGCATCATTGTATGGTAGTGCAGTTGGGCCAACATCAATGGAAATATCTCATACGGTAACATCTTCCACAGCAGCATCGTATGGCATGGATAATATGGACAGTAGTGGTATGTTCAGTACGGCGGGAACTAGTGTCACACCCTCATATGGTGAACTAATGCCAGTGACATCATATCATCCACATCATAATATGAACTATGGAAATGTGCAGGAATCCCAGGTATGTGGAAATATCTTCTCGAAAAAAAAAATAATCTTCATTATATCGAAATTATATATGTTAATTGTGGACGTCTCATTGTTTGACATTTGTATTTTCTTTTAAGCCGCCTTTTCATTACACAAACACAAACTATCCCTGGAGTAACAATAGATAATGACATTCAATTACAATTGTTGTAAATATCAGTATTAAAAATTCAAAATTTAGGAATTGTGGTTTAATCTATAAATGTCGTCATTCATGCATCCCTCAAATTGTAAGTGTGTTGTGTTTTCTCTGCTCTGATTGCTTGTTTTCTAACCCTTGGCTGCCAGCGCAATGTTTATTAATAATCATAAAAGGATGCTGAAATTTTTGATTTCATTTCAAACTGAAATACAGAGTTTCTTATAAATCCATAGATTTGTTTTCGATTTCTAAATATTAACCATTATAACCAATATCTAATGAGAGATTTTCCATATGTGCTCTAAAAAATGCATAAGCAGGCTTTTGAAATATATATAACTCAACTATATACTTCAATGTTGGCAAAAAGAATGACTACAAGTTTCTATATGGTCACGCAAGATCATTTGATTTGTCATATTGAATTTGTTATGTGATCGCATAAAACAATCAGAACAGCTGAGGCTCGCTCGATTAATCAATGATATTGAATTTAAAATTGAGCTCCCTGTCATTAAGTCGTATAAAACAATCAAAATGCCTGTATTGAAAGCAAATAAATTGAAATTGAATAGCTGTGCTGACATGTGTATTATAGTCAGAGATTTCTAGCTACCTATTTGTTTATCGATAACTAACGGGTCATTGTAATCATCCTGAAAAAGGGCCATATTTCAAGAAGTGATCCATAAATAGACTTTAAAGTCTCTGTAAAGTAGATTATCAATGCCATAGAAGTTGGAGATAAAAGATACAGCATTAATCCCATATGAATCAATTAATTACTGTGTTAGCACAATAATCATAAGTTTTAGTAGGAAAATTTTCTACCCAATGAGAATTGAATAAGAATTGGCACAAAATTTTGCACACCGTACTGTAGTAGGTATAACCTACTGTGTGGAAAGTTTCGCTGAAATCGGTTCAGATTTAGATATAGCTGTCATATATAGTTTCGTCCGATTTTAAGTTAATTGTGCACCAAAGCCCCAAATATGGCCGATTGACACACAATTTTGCACAACGTATTGAAGTTGGTATAACCTAACGTGTGGAAAGTTTTGTTGAAATCGGTTCTGATTTATATATGGCTCCATATATATTTTCATCCGATTTAAAGTCAATAATGAACAAAGACCCAAAATATTACCGATAGGCACACAATTTTGAACATCATACTGAAGTTAGTATAGGCTAACGTGTTAAAAGTTTCATTGAAATTGGTTCAGATTTGGATATAGCTCCCATATATATTTTCGTCTGATTTTAAGTAAAAAACGTACTTAAGGTTTTATAATCGTTGAAATTGGTTCGGATTTGTATATAGCTTCGTAATATACTTTCGTCCGATTTCATGTAAATGATGCACCAAACTCCTAATGTTTATGAGATTGCATTTTGAAGAAATGCAGACATAGCCTATATATATGACCGACTTCATGTTAATTGGGCTCCAAATAGTCCATGGGTGTCCGATTGAGATCTATGTACATAATTTTATTCCATTGCAAACAAACGACTTTATATTTGTCCATATGAACAATTTAGCCCAGGTTTCAGAATGATAGGTATATGATTTATTTAAATCGGTTCAAAATTAGATAAAGATCACATATGTTTACCCAATTTCATGTTAATGGTCCTTTAAAAATGAGACGTATATAGGAATGCATTTGTTGAATATACTCAAGGTGGGGAAGGGTATCATATAGTCGGCTCCGTCCGCATCCTGAACTTTATGGAAAGGTTATGTCTGTTTGTTTGGTTTGCTATCTATGATACTTCAAAGATTTTTCTATAGGGTAAAGATCTGATGATTGTGTTGGCCATTATAAAACCCAGATTTTTGATTGCCGCAAACAAACTTTGACATATTTTGGTGTTATTTATTGGTTATTGACAACCTGAAACACCTAAACAAGCGGTATATTTTCTTCAGCGAAGGGAACCATTTCGTTTTCCAATACATGTGTATAAACAATTTGCTAAATTACTTCATAAATCTCCTGAATATATCGAACTACAATAGCATTATGGACCCTCCTCCATGCTTGCCATAACCCTTGTAATACTGTGCCATGAGCCTTTGATTTTTAGACTTTCTCACGGTAATTTTTCCAAGTCTGATTCTTTAATATTTAACTTTAAATCATCCGAGAGATGATTTAAAGTTAAATCATTAAAATGGGTTGGATTCCAATTAATATGAGCTTTTACGAGAGGCAATTCGTCTTTCCGATTCTTTTAAGAAATAAAGTAATCTTCTTGATAGTTTCCGGGCTTGTAGGCCTGCCTCCATAGCTCGCTCACGCTTGAGGTTGTATTAGCGATAATAGATTGGATGACACATCAAAACATATCAATATTGTTATTGATTTGAGATATGCCTGTAAGGGCGATGATTTTTTGAATGGTTTTGATGTAAGTTTTTCTCTTTCGAGTCGAGCTTAATGATCGAATTTTTGCAATGAAAAGGAAATCCGGCGGAAGAATCTACGTACGTACCCACCATCAAGCGACGCCTTTCGCCGTTGGTTAAGCGGCTTATCAGACATATTGGCAAGCTCGATGTATTGTCAAGTAGTTAAACGGCAATAAGTGGTGTTAAATGCTACATATTCTGCTGTTGCGGATCCTGCGGTGGTGTCTCGTATTCCGACTACGATGCATCTCCCAGAGACGGATCTATGTGTATGTGATCCCAGACAAAAATAATGTACTTGTATTTGTTGAAATAACAGCCTCTGGCAGGAGTCTTTCTCCGAGTCTATCCAGTGTATAGAACCAGTTGCCGTGGGATGGTTGTTGTGCTTGTATCGGCCTTATTGCTCTCAAACAATGGTCTGAGGTGGCAGACGTTGGCCGAGTAGGACTCAGGTCGTTTTTCGGATCGTAGACGCCTGCTTCTAACTCCAGGTTCAAAAATGCGATGTCCTGTATAGATTGAGTCCATACTGAAGATGAGGTGAATTAGCTGGGCTGGGCAATTCTAGGGGGGTTTAGCGAGTCGTGAGCAATTATCACGAATGCTCGCGGAGAGAATTCGAATGTTTTCATTTTATTGCGAATGATAGAGTTACAATCATTCCTGTTGCTGTTATGAGCATTCGCGAATGTTTGCTTTCATTCGTGAGCGAATGACGGAATGAATTTTAACCACTAAACGAAACGAACGATCGTTGTTGTCTGCTCTCACTCGTTTGTTATGAGTATGCGAACATTCGCTTGGCGAACGTTCGTTTGGTAAAGAATTTATCGCGTTGAATTCATTTATAAAATGAGCCCAAAACGAAAAGAACGTATTGTGAAACATTCGGGAGCGAATATTTGCGCAACCTGGATAGTTTGTCTTGGTGGCAGCTGCTGTTATCAGTGGCGGATGTTCTCCCATGATAGTATTCACCGTATTTTCTTGAATTTTTACCTCAATTGAATCAGTTTTAATACAATCCAATCCAGTTTGGTAGTCATCTAGATCAAGAGTCTCTCTTTTCTACCTCTGGATGTCTCTCTTGATCTTGAAGACATTTTCGTTCGTTAGGTGTTGCATCGACAATATATTGTTATTCCAATTGTAAAACAAACAGTTACGATCGACAGCGAATCATGATCATTAATATGATAAGTTTTAAATTTAAATTTACGCATTATTCATAAGCTTCACATTCAATAAACTATATATTTTTATTTAATAAAATTTATTTCGTTTTTATTTGTTTTGCAGATGTCCGGATACAATTCCTATCACAATAATGCCACACCATATATAAACACAAATGCCCAAAGCACAAATATAAATGACAACAACACTCCAATTCCAACATATAGCTCATGTTCGATACCATCTTTACCACCATATGGCACGGCAACAACAACTGAATGCTCCTCATCGTCGTCGACCACTTATCATGATGATGGTGGTGTTAGCAGCCTAACAACATTGGATACAACAACGGCGTCATCTTCCTATACAAAAGCTGTCGTCGCACAAACAACACCCACAACTGCACCACTAATGGACAACACTAACTGCGGCACCGCCAATGATGTTGCTGCTGCAGGCTTTGTCGATTTAACAACCAATGATGTTACTGCTGCTGCTGGCGGGACAAGTTTTATCGATTTAACAACTCCCCCGGCAAGTTCCTCGAGATTAACACAACAGATTAATGATTTATTAGAAAATAATCGTAATAACACCACGGCATTAGTGGCCGTTACACAAAATAAGGGTATTGATTATGAAAGTGGTAGTACTACAAATAAAAATGATGATGTGGTGGCGGTGGTTCCAGATTTGATGAATGGTGGTATTGGCGAGGAGGTGACCACGACGACGACATCTTCGGAACCTTTGTTACCCACAAATAATAGTGAATTGTCGATTAGTGCAACTCCAAATATTGAAGATGTTAATAACACACAGGTTTCTGCAAATTTACAAACAGCATTACCTCCCTTAAAGCCGCCAACTATTGTTGCTGCGACGTCGGGGACGGCGGTGGATAATGAGGAAGCTGGTCCAGAAAAATTACCAGCACCTCCACCATCATCCCCACCACCACCAGTAGTAACAGAAAAGGTGGAGGATAAGAAAATGGAGGATGAGGAGCAAAAACAAGAATCATTACCATTAGATTCCATGGAGGAGGAGGCTCCAAAAGCTGTTGATGCCGCCACAGAGAATAAACCAGAACCAATGATAGATTTAACAAAGGGATCTGTGGTATCACCAACAAATGAAAAAGAAATTGCAGCGGATGATGTCATAGAGGAAATGGATACAACGGAAACAATAACAGCAACAGAAACATTGGGAAATGAAACGAGAGAAAATAAGGATACGACTGAAAGGGCCACGGCAGCAGCAGTGGAACCCCAAGCAGAACTAGAAAATGAAAACCCCGCCGTTGAAACATCAACAACACCTTCCTCAGCAGCCGATGTTGCTTCATCCCCCTCAACGACAGCCCGGGAAGTAACAGTGGCCGTTGGTAATTAAAGTTTGACAAACTGCAATGCAAGTTTGAAGGTTTAAGTTTCCAATAACATCTTATCCCTCTCCCCCTTCCCCCCTGCTTCCCCTCAACTATGTATAAGTCATTCTAGTGCTAATAGCAAGAACAAATAACCACTAAAAAAACGAGGAAAATATGAAAAAAACTAAACAATTGAAAAAAGATGAAAAAGAAATGAAGCAAAGTATTTAGTTAAGTTCCAATTTTATTATTATTATTTTTTGTTTTAGTCTTAAGCGTGTTTAAACAAATTAGCTACTGGCAAAACAAACAAAATCCCCCTTCATATATAAATATAATACACACACAAACATACATACATATATACAAAAAATAAGTCAAGCAAAATAATCAAACCGATCAACATAATTCTAGCATTAATTTTCAATTTAAAAAAAAAATATTCTAAAAGAAGAAAAAATTAAAACAAAAATTAAATCAAAGACACAGTGACTCAAAAGAAGGAATAAATATTTATAAGTACTATATATTGGGTACTTTCAGATAAATACACACACACTCTCGGTTACACATCTCATTTAGACAAAAAACTAAAACAATTTATAAAGACAACAATGAGTTTGGATGACAGTAAAATAATTACTTGTGTGAAGAAATGGAATTTATTTTTTGTTTATTTTTATTTTTTATTTCCAATTATGATTATTATTTTTGTTTAATTTTTCTCTTATTATTAATACGGTTATTACAAGTTTTATTAGAAGGATAGGATACTATATCTTCAGCTTTTTGTAAAAAATCGTTTTGATTGTAAAAATATTCTTATCTCAGTAGAAATGGAGCTTTGATTGATTTATTTAGTCTTAAAAAATCTAATAAAGATTTGATTGGGTGTTTAAAATCTAATTTAAATATATTAATCACAAAATATTCTAAAAGAAGAATATATCAAATCGATTTTTGTTACAAAAGCTGAAAATGTAGTAGCCTATCCTTGGATTACTTTAGTCATGGATATTTGATTGTATTCCAATTGCAATTAATTTGAGAATATCCTTAATTTTTCTTTTAAAATGCCAATAATTATAAAAGCTTCCTTTTCTTGAATGTATAACCCATTTTTGTTTTTTCCTTTTTCGCGTTATTTTCATTTTTCAATTAATTTTTTATTATAGATTTTGTTGTGAATCCTTTTTGCGTTATTTTCTTTTATTTTTCAATTATTTTTTTATTATAGAATTTGTTGTGAATCGCTTTCTTCTCCATCACCATCACCACCACCCACACCAATATTTGTAAATAATTGTATTTAATTGGATGTTGTGTTGGTAGATAAAGTAATTCTACATATAATTTTTTTTAATTCAGTTCATATACCCTACTAAAAATGCCTTTCTATTTTTTAATTTGAAGGGGATACATTTAAGAATTGATTATCACAAAAAAGTAACAAATATTTATTTTAACTATTTTGTTTTTGCATTTAAAAAAAGCCACAATAAACACAAAATGTTGAAAAGATAGAAATCGTGAGTTTTTGAAAACATTCATAAATATATTATTCTCTGAAGAAACATAATAGGTAAGGCAGCATATAAAATTAAAATTTTCGTCTTGTAATATTTGTTCCTGAAGTTAAAAAATTCTTACAATTTGGGAGAACTAACGGTGTATAACTCAGCTTTGAGAAGATTGCTTGATATAGCATTGATAATTTGAAGTGATAGGCTCTCTAAAACTCTACGACAATTCGAATCGTATCAATGAGCTAAATATAACGACTCGACATTCAATATTTAAATTACAATATTTAAATTCGTAGTTAAAAATTGTCCAATTAATAACATCGTCGTTTCTGGTTAATTGAAATGATTAAATTTTTTATATATAAATCCTTATTATGTAGAACAGTCGGATTTGTCCGAATTATAGTTATGATAAATACGGCAAAAAATTAATTTCGACGATGAAAGAACCGGTTTTCTAAAGGAAAGGAATCAAGTAGGAAGGACGAAATATTCTACGAAAAATTCTTTACACGATTTTAATGAGTAAATGTAATCTCAAAATATACGACATATAAAGCTATATCATATCGAACATTTAACTTGTGAAAATAGAAAACTGATTCATATTGCTTTTTGCAATTTCCTTTTAGTTTAACTAGAGAATGACACTTTGATTGCCGTTCCTTCCTTATACGTCTCATCTATGACAAAAGGCAATTAAACGCTTTTTTTTTGTTATCATAATTGGAAGTACCCTGCTAATGGTCATTAAACATTAGGGTACCAGGACATCATGATCGACCAAAACCCATTTTTTTCTCTTTGCTTTTCAAAATGTGTCGATACATGCGTAATAGTTGTCAATACCTTGATTTTTTGTGAGCCACTGCGGTTTTTTGCTGCTGGCGTTTAGAAGTATTTGTGTTGAAATGTTTTTTTTTTTTGTTTATTAATTTTTTTATTTAATTAAAGCCAATTTATAATTCATGCGGCCCATTTAAAATTAATTACAAAGATTCCGCCTTTGACATCCTAAGCTAGCCAATAAGACCAATGGTAACCAAAAAGACCTGAGGTACCAAGGCATATCCGAATCAATCGATGATTTTTTGTTTTGTTCGAAGTTTATTAAGTTTTCGTTTCAAGATTCCGTGGGGATTGAAATTTCAATTGTAACACTTTAGTGCGGCACAAACATCATCTGAAGAAAATTGTTGGTTTTAGGGTAACAGGGGGAGGCAATACGTGTTGACAATGGCATCATTTCCCAACAAAAGCCTACGTTCGATTAGACCAGAGGGTGGTAGCAGGACAGCAGTATCAATCGTATTATTTGTAAATTGCTTGACTCTCTGGTGATTCAAATTTCAATTTGTAGTCCTTAATACTTAGGGTATCTAGATAATCGCACCAATATCAGTTGAAAATGTATTTTCGCCCTAGCAAAAATGTCCACGTTCGAATACAGCCTGTACCCTAACGACAAACCTTGAGGACACGATGTGCCCTAACAAACCCGCATTATGAGTTCGGCTGCTTTTAAGAGGAAAGTGACCAATGGCCTAGTTAATATTACAGGGGATATGTAGCCGTTAATTATTTCGCTCGTAAAAATTTAATCCATTGTACTCAACCTAAGTATGAGGGGAGGTTAGAGGGAGATCCCTGCAGTGAGTTTTTTTCTCGTAAGGGCGCAACATTCAGGCTTGGTATTCAAGCGACGTACACTTTGAGGCCCTTCAGAGGAATCTATTGTCTGACAACGACAACTTATTTAATTCACAGTTGCTCTACATGGATGAACACAATATGTTCCCTAACATCGCAGCGTAAGGGAGGCCTCATTTAATAGAATGGTTACTAAAGACTAAAGTTCGATTTTTTAGCGGTTTTTTTCATTCAAAGTCCTTTGATCCTTTGTTCTCATCTCTCTCTATCTCTCTGACACCTACACAATATATGTTCGATCACTTCCAACTCTTCCTTGGTGTAAGGGCGCAACTTTCAGGCTTGTCGTTCAAGCGAACACGGACACTTTGAGACCATTCAGAGGAATCTATAAACTGCAAACTTAATTCACAGTTGCTCTCACTGATGAACACAATGTTCCCTAACACTCCAGCATTGGGGAGGCCTCATTTAATGCGATGGTGACTAAAGATCAAATTTAAATCCTTTGGTCCTTTGCACTCACTTTGAGACATTTCAGAGGAACTTATTGACTGACAATGACCGCTTATTTCGCAGTTGCAGTCCATTGATTGGCAGCTACTGGTTCCCAAACACTCCAGCGTTAGAGAGGCCTAATTCAATAGGATGGTGACTAAAGACCAAAGTTGGGCTTTTTAATCATCTCCACTTTATACTCATCTCTCTCTCTCTTTGACATCTATGTACTACATGTTCGATCGTTTCCAAGTCTTCCTTATCCTCACATAGACGCCACAATCCACTCCATTGACGTTCCAATTGGAGGTAACAGTACAGTACATTCAATCTCTTCCGCCATTAGTAATAATGATCTACGCCATGCAAACTCCGAACAGGTGGGTTTTGATCAAAGACCTAAGTAAATGCCCTACGGGCGCGTATTTCAGGCTCATCGATCAAGGAGACACCAGCACTCTCCGGCCACTGCATTAGAGGTCCTCAGCGGTGCATACTGTCTGTCAAAAGTCGTTTGTGATCATATCTATATGGTTTCCTTTATTATTCCTTTTGATGGATATTCGATGCTGCCTAAGACCCCAGCAAAAGACCTAAGTAATTGGCGCAAGTATGCACATTTCAGGCTCATCGATTAAATAAATATTAGAGGCACTCGTGCTTTTATCTGTACATTCCCCCGGAGATCTACCGAGGTCAATCAATATTTGTTGGGCTTTCCACTGATAGACTCGATTATGCCTAATACCTCAGCCTTATGAAGGGTACTTTTAATATGAATTGGACAAAATACCAATTTAATTTCTGCAATATGCGCACATTTCAGCCTCATCGATTAAGGGTATTCGCTCATTTCTTATGACACCTACTGACCCCAGAAGAGGGTCTTATATTTTTTGGACTTTCCACTAACCGAAGACGATTAGAATCAAAATTTCTTTAGTCGCCTTTGGTTTATGTTTTTTTTTATTAGTAATACCATGCTATATCCAAATATCTCTATTACATTTTGTGTTTATATTTGGCTCAAATTTATTTAAATTTTTCAATATAGATTTTAAATAATTATAATTTATTTAAAAAGTAAAAAATATTGGTCGTGATAGAACATTTATTTTTTATAAATGTCCTGTAATATAAAATTTGTTGTTAAAACCTATTATATATCATTATTATTTTTTAATTATAACTCAAGCCAATAAAAAGTGGGGTATAATATTTAAATGAAAGATTTTTATATATCTATAATATAATATATGTTTTTATGTAATTTCTTTTCAATAATATCGAAGTCCAGAGTCAAAATAATCAGCAGCCCCTATGCCACAAATTAATTTTAAAGTTCTATC